GATTTGTGAAAAGGATAAAATAAAAAGAAGTGTTTTTTTTTTCTTTTTTCAATGTCAATTTGTACATTTTTTTTCTTCGAGAAACGGATCAATTTAAACGTCATTTGTTTGGTCAAATTTGTTTTTTTTTTTTCTTCTGTTGCCGCAACAATTTGTTCATGCAAAAAAAAAGTTGTTGTTGATTGCTGTTGTCGATGGGTTTTGTTTAAAAAAGGCAAGAAGAAACCCAAAATTCTTTGGCTGTAAACGTCAAACCTTTTTTTTTTTTTCTTTTTTGAATTATGAAACCAAAAAGCTGTCGTTTTCTTTTTAAACCCTTTTTTTAAACAGAAAAATAACTCTAACTGGTTAATTAGGGTTTTGAATGAAATGGAATGTGCAGTTTTAAATGACTCATGAACTGGTAGTCTTCTGAAAGAGCTAATAATGGTTGTTCCGTTACGCAACAGTAAAAGTCATAGATGGTTGACGAAGGTTGTTGGGATGGCTGTTTGAAGAATCGTTGGAATTTTATATCCGCTGAAAAGACCTTTTTTGGACCTGTTTTTTTTTCCAGCGACCGTTCTTTCCTGGATAAAAACACTTCTGGAAAACTCTAAACTGAGTTCCCCAATCCGCCTTACCTCCCCTCTACTTCTCCTCCTCCACCACCTCCTCTAAATCAGCAGTCTTGTTGGCGTAAAATTTGTCTTCAAGTTTTTTTTTTTTTGTATAAACTGAGGAGAACATTGATTTAAATTGGTTGTTGTTGGCGACTGTATAAAGCAAATGTGAGATGAAAAATATAGTTAATTTGATGTCTAACGGCACAGCAAATTAAAAAAAAAAAGAGTAATTTTATTTAATTTTTGATTCTGTTATTTGCAAGACAAAAGAAGCAAAAAAAAAAAACGACGTTTGAGAAAGTTTGGGCAGCAAAAGAATAAAGGAATAAAAAGAAAATTTTTAGTTAAATTTTGGTGTCTTGAAAAGAATGCCTATAACTTAATATATTTTAAAACATATATGGGAAACAAAATAAACAGTGCTGAAGAACGAGGAAAGTAAAACTGAAAAAGTTTGACAACAGTTTCCAAAAAGAGACTTTTTTTTTTTGCTCAAATACCATTAAAAAAATTTAACTCATTAATTTTTCTCACCAAATTTTACAATGAAAAAATTATGTGCTTTTTATGTTTCTGTTTTAATTTATCTACTGACGCTTTCCTCTGTAATCTCATCGAACTTCAGTTTCAACTAACAGTATTGTTTACAGCTGAAGCGGTAAACGCTAAAATTGTAAGACAATAGTTTTATTTGAAAATACAGTTAGCTGTTCTGTTTAAAAATTGCAACATACAGAAGTACAAAGAGACACACTTAATCTGACAACTGTTTCATAGGATTCTTCCCACAGTTTCACCTGGTACAATGTCAAACAACTTCTGGACTACTGTTGCTGTGTTGTCATCATCAAATTTGTTGTTGTCTTGAATCAAAACAAAAAAAAAA